CCGTGCAGAACACGGTGGGGAGGGGAGAGAAGTTGGGGGGTCCCCCTAGGTGGGGGGCACACGATGCTGGGGGGCTGGTGTCCCCGTGCAGAACATGGTGGGGAGGGGAGAGAAGTTGGGGGGCTGCCCTACACTTCTGCCTCTAGTGGGTGTGGGGTGGGGCGTAGCCCATTGCGTGTGTGGGGCGGTGAGCATCCCACAGCGTGGTGACATCACTCTGCTGGGTTTCCCCCACCCTAGCCTCACAGCTCTGCGAATCATCACTCCCCACAGGGTCTGCAGGGCAAAGAACAGGCAGGCAGGGATAGCCCAACCCCACACCTCCCCTCCCCTAATTTGAGGGGCATGTTGGGGAAGGCTGGAGGCAGGGAGCTGGTTTGAGCTGGGGTGGGGGTGGGAATGACCCCTCTGCAATGGAGTTTGCTTTGTGGGAGGCTTGGTGGCCTGGGTGTGTGGGTAGGTGGCCCTCCGTTATCTTTCTTGACCTTTGAGAACATGGGGTCATGTGTGACCCCTCGCAGAGGCTCCCCTCAACCTCTGGGGTTCCCTTCGGGGGGACACGGCAGCGCTGGCTTCTCCAGGGTCGGTTTTCTGCTTCTGGGTGCTGGGGGCAGAGCCGTGTGGGTTCACTGTATTCAGAGCGCTCGGCTTTCCGACTGAGTGTTGAGTCAACAGGGTGACGTGCCAAAGAGCGTACAACTAAGCACCTCTAAACGTCTCTGACTTTTGACACATCTCCAAGCTCAGTGTTTTGCTGCCTTGAAGCTCAGTGAGTGGTGGGAGCTTGCTTGCTGGTGAGGTTTTCCGTTAGGAAGAGAGGCCTGGGCCGTCTGGAGCACCAACCGTCTCTGCACCTTTGCCCAGGGGCCCCCAGGTATGACTGTTCATGTTACCCGGATACACCTGATTTCTGCCCAAGGAAATGGGTTCATTTCTGGAAATATTTAGTGCAGAGAACAAAGGTCCAGTGCAGGGTGGGGGGGGTTGTTGATAGAGCAAAGGCCTCTGAGAGAGGGCGGGACGGGGAAGCCAGACAGAGACCAAAGGCCACGATGTGGGGCTCTTCTGAGGGCCGCCGCCCTGCATCCACCCCTTTGCCCCTGTGGACACTTGGCCAACAACGTGCTTGTGCCAGGCAGCACAAGGCTTCAGGGCAGGGGCCCAGCGTGGCCTCGGCTCGGGGGCAGGGCGCTGCTGGTCCAGCAGTGCGGCTGGCGTGGGGTGAGACACAGGGGTCTCCGTCCACAGTGGTCCCGTCCCACCGAGCAGGGGGCATAGGTCATTTCACCTGGAGTGCACGCATAGGGGGCCCGGCAGCCCTAGGGCTCTGGGGGCCTCGGGGGGCCAGTTTCTATCCAACTTGCCAGCCGAGTAGATGCTGCCCACTGCTCACTAATAGCTGGGCGGGGGCGCAGGGGTGTGGAACAGATCCTGGGTCCGAGTGTGGCTCAGCGGACACCAACACCACCTGGAGGGCACAACCACCACAGACCAGCACATTCCGGAGGAGAAGTTCAGCACAGCCTGATGATTTTTAAAGAGAAATTGCGGGAGATGGAAGCGCCCGTGTTTATATTTTCCCCCAGGACCAGAACAAATGCAAGGGTTCTGTCTGCCTCGAACATGGCCCTTTGACCCCTAGTTGCACTGACATCACCTGCAGCTTCAGTCTGGAAACCGATCTGAGGGACAGCTGGGAAGCACTTCCTGCCCTGCCGTGCCCTCCACAGAGGCCCCAGGCCCCTTTCCCTACCCCAGGGGACCCTCTATAATTCTGCATGCCGAGGGGGACCCTGCAGCAGGGGCTGGTGAGCTGGGATGTGGACGACATCTGCCTGTGTGACCTGCATGTCTGTATGTCTGAGCTCTTCACCCCCAGATGGAGATGAAGCCACACTGGGGTTGGGAGTCGGGGGGACCAGGAAACCGCCCCCCGGGGGCACCTGAGTCTCTCCAGCAGGACTTCCTGGGGCTTCCTTTCCAGCTGGGAAGCCCATGCCGTGTGGGCTGTTCCATGCCAGGTGGCGGGTTGGGGAGGGGTTGGGGGAGCGGGGGGGCGTGATGAGGTCACTCAGGCCCTCGAGGGGGGTCCGAGTTATGTAGGGCAGCAAGGCTGAGTTAGGGCACGTGCTGGAGCTTGCATCTCCAGAGAGGAGCTTTGAGGACCCCAGGGGGGTCCCTGAGGCAGGGTGGGACTCTGAGCGGTTTCTGGGGAGCAGAACAGGGGTGGGGTCCTCGGGGTCAGGCCCAGCCCAGATGGCCTGAACTCCTGAATATCACACCGGGGCTCCCACCGGCGGCCCCGCCTGGCCCGGGTCCTAGCTCTCCTCCCGCCCTGCGACCTGAGCCTGTGCTGCCCCAGTGTGTCCTGCCCAGGAGACCCCGGGTCAGCTTGGGAGTGTGGCTTTGCCTGCAGATGGTGGCAGCCAAGAACTGGGGAAACACAAGAAGGTGAGTGGGTCTGGGGCCCTGGCAGGGAGCTGACGGCCTTGCTTTGTTCTTCTCTGACAGCTGTGCCGAAGGGCCCACGGCAGCTGGCGGTCAGTGCCCCCTCCCCCGAAGACCGCGGTCTGAGCGCAAGATCTGCCGTGCTGGAGGGAAGGCTGCTGCTGGAGGTGAGCCCCCTTGCCCTTCGATCACACGCCTGTCATGCTGTGCAGGCCGTCCGTGTCCCCCCGCCCCAGCAGGTTGGACCGCTGACAATTAAATGTTGCAAGATGGAGCTCCAGGACTGCCCTGGGAGCCATGGAGGTCAGGCACAGATGCTCGGATGAGGTCCAGCATCTTGGGACAGAAAGAACAGGGGTGACCTTGGTCCATGCACCTCAAATCTGAAAATCGTTTTTCATTCTACATTCTCTGGTTTTACTTGTCAGTGGAAGAACCTGATAAAAATTAAGCAGGTTTTTTCTTTTTAATTAATAACAGAGAATTGCACACTGAGCTTCCCAGGATCTGGCAGGTGTGCCCGGCTGATCCATTTAACACCAATAGTTACACACAGGCATCAGGGGCCCAGGTCAGCCTTTTCCCCGAGACGGGGCCCCCCACCTCTGGTGACTCTGAGGTCCTGACCCTCTCATGTGGTCTGCTTCGCGAGGGCAGGGGAATGCCATGGCTCAGTTTCTCAAGCACGGTAGGACGGCAAGGTGGAGCTTTCTGGGCTCGGTCAAGTCACTGTACACAGAGAGAGGGGGTCTCTGTCTGCACCAGCAGCCCAGAGACCAGGTCCCTGGTTTGCCCCATCTCAGGAGGGGCTGGAGGACGCAGGCTGCCCATAACCAGCGGCAGAGGTGCCCCCGAGCTCATGCTTCCCCAACGGTCCCAGAGGGGCCGGGCCCCACGTCCTCCTGCGTGTCCTCCTGGGACGCCTACACCAGGTCCTCAGCCTCCAGCCCTGTTTGGGGGCAGTTCTGTCCCCCCAGGTGAAGCGTCCTCGGCTGCACATGCCCACCCATCTGTCAGGCTGACTCACGAAGGGCAGAAACGGTGGCGAATGGGCGCCTTTCACACTGATGCCATTGAGTCTGCTTGGAGCCCATCGGCCTCTTCTCTTGGTGCCCTGTCTGCACCCCAGCTGCCCCATGGCAGCCAGAGTGACCTGTTGCCGGTGGGTCCTGGAGGGAAGCCCCAGCCCCTCCCCTGCCAGCTGGCCTGGGCACTGCCCCGTGGCCAGGCTGCTGCCCTGGCACCTTCACCGCTGGAACGATCTCAGTGGTTTGCTGTTCATCGTGTCCTCTGCGAGGGGTGTCAGCGCCCCTCATGGAGGACAGGGGTCAGAGACTGTCCTCCAGGCTCGCCCCTCCTGCTTCTTGCTGCCCATCCTTCAGTCCACTTCCCACCTCGATGCTCTCCCTGACCATGTCAGCGGCTTCCCACTGTCTGCGCGTGAATTCCTGGTGCTCAGCTATCTGGCGCGTGGGCTATGGTGGTGGGCACGTGCCCCTCGGGCACCTCAGCCTGAGATGACCTCACTTTGCCTCACCTGAAGGGAAGGCGCAGGGCGGGGTGCTACCATCTGCCATTGACAGGTGGACAGATGGAAAACATCTGGGCTGATTGGAGGGGAGCCAGAGACGCTTGTGCCTGGAATCTGGGGGTTCCCATCTGCCCACCGTGACCCATGACCCCCCATAGGTCTCCACAACCCCCATATCTCCCATGGTCCCCAAGGGACCCCCATGATCCCCATATCACCCACAGTCCCCACAGAGACCCCATGATCCCATGGCCCCCCATGTCCCTCCATGGTCCCCAAGGGACCCCCATGATCCCCTAGGATTTCCCACAGCCTCCCACAGTTCCATGGCCTCCCATAGTCCCCACAGGGACCCTCCTCACCCCCTATGGCCTCCCATAACCCCTTATGACCCCCCCCATGGTCCCTAAGGGACCCCCACGACCCCATGGCTTTCCATGACTCACCATGGCCTCCATGATCCCCCATGACCCCCAACGGTCCCCAAGGGGCCCCCACAACCCCACATACCTTCCACATCCCCCCATGGCCTTCACCCCTGATGACGTGATTGTTCTCATGAAGATCAAGGAGCTTATAAATCACTTCCTTTTTAAAAAATAAAAATAGGAGGAAGTACATACTTGTGTTTAATCTCCATGAAAATTCAGTATGGTGGGTGCCTGGGGACCCCCTTCTTAGAGCCCCTGCAGCTTTTAGTCCCGTCTGGAGCAGAGCATGGCTTTTAGCAGCAGAGGCACTTTTAGAAATATTGTGGTTTCCATAGAGGAAGTATTTCCATACTTCATTATTTATCATGTTTTTCGGAAGCAGATTCTTAAATACTAATTTTTCCTTTAAAGTTGGATTTTTCTGTCAGTGTTAGTAAGCTTGGGGCTGGAAAACATTGTGCCAGCTTGAGTTTTATTCCAGGCGAAAGATGACTGGCATTGCTCTTTTTCTAATTCATGTTCAAAATTAAGATGATGAAATCTTTAAACTGTGTCCCCACTACAACAAAAGCATATGCGCACAGCGCTCCGATCTCCTGTTGGAGCCCAGGGGACCGCTGTGGTCCACAGCACTACCCTCCGGCCCCTCTGTGGGTCTGCAGCAGCTGTCCTGCCCTCCGCGCTCGGAGCAGGTCTCCTCTGGGGGCCTCAGGACGTGGACCTGGATGTGGCATTGAGGTCCTTGCACAGCTGAAGCCCAGGAAGTGGCCAGGCCTGTGCCCGGGGAGCAGAGCAGCTCCCTCAGGGCTAGGAGGGCGGGAAGGGCGGTGCCTAGCCCCATACCTGCCACTGGCCCAGGGTGTTCACATTTGGGGAGTGACCTTCTGGGACAGGACCCAAGGCTGCGGGCTGTCCTGCTGGCCCCCTGCCCTGCTCCATCATGCAGACTGCCACCTCTTGTAACACGTTCTCTGTGACCACAGAAGTTTCTGGAAGTTCCCTTGGATTGGAAACAGGCTAGGTTGTATGGTGAGGGTTCTCCTCACTGCATTTCTAGTGTGGGGGTTCTCAAACTTTGAAATTAGAGACTCTTTTTGAAGTTTAAAAATGTAACAGCAAAATAAACAAATCAAGCCACAATAACGAGAAAATCCAGCTTTTATTTCCAATCTTCAGTCTCTTAAAGACAAACTGGAAAAAATGAGAGGTTTATGGCAGGCATCATAAATTCATAAAAATTTAGAGCTGGCACTCACTTAAAAGGCCTGTGGTCTAATGTCTGCTATTTTAAGATTAAAAAAACAAGATTCAGAGCCGTTGGGGGTCCAGGGTCCCTGTTGGGGTTGGGGCAGGGCCTGGTGTTTCTCTGTCTGTGGTTAGTGCTCCTGGGCCCGTGGCCGCATCAAGAAGCCAGGATGGATGGCCAGAGGGGCTGCCCAGCGCACACCTTGGCAAAGGTGCTGGGCATGGGGTGACAGGGGAGGTGTGGTGTGGGATAGGCAGGTTCTGGAAACATACATATTAGGTCACAAATAGCGGCGTCCTGGGTTTCTATTCCTACTGCTAAGGCGGGCTGTAGTGTTGAGTGTGGACATGCAGTGTGCTAGCAGGAGCTGTGGACTACTGACCGCTTGACCCTCACTAGAGTTCAGCTCTGCCATGGGTACATTTTCTAACACTGTTTTTAAGTTCATGCACGCTAAAATTTGTTCTTATTGGCGGTGTGGTGTGGCCACCATCATAATGAAGACACACAACAGTTCCACTGTGCCCTAATTTCCCTGGGGCTGCCCATGTGCGGTACCCTGGCCAGCATGCCCATGTTCTCCAGCCCCTGGGGCCTTCTCCAGCTGCTGTTCTCAGGACATCTGGGTGTGGGTCCCTACGGCAGGGAGCTTGGGCACCAGCAAGATATGGCTGTGACCCAGCCACGTGGGCTGCGTGTAGCTCAGATGATTTTGTCATTCTCCGGTGCGCATGCATCTCAGCGTGCTTGTCCACCTGACCTTTGAGGGATGTTTGAGTTTCCAGGATTTGGTATTATGAATAAAGCTGCAACAAACATCCACATGCAGGTTTTCCTGTGAACATAGGTTTTGGTTTTGTTTGGGTAATACCCACGTGTGTGGTTGCTGGGTTGTATGGTAAGTGTGGATGGGAGTGTCCACACCCTCGTGACTAACAATGCTGAGCATCTTCTCCTGAGCTTATTTGCCACTGATAGAGCCCCTTTGTAAGCAGTCTGTTCAAATATTTGCCCACTTAAAAATTCAGGTTGTTTGCTTCCTTACTTTTGACTTTGGAGTTCTTTATGTATTCTGGACACACAATCTTTGTTGTACATATGATTTTTAAGTATTTGCTTCTAGTCTGGCTTGTCTTTTCATTATCTTGACAGGGTCTTGCAGAGAATGAATGTACTTAATTTTGACAAAGCCCCATTTATCCATTTTTTTTATTCTTATGTTAATCCCCATACATTACATCATTAGTTTTAGATGTAGTGTTCCATGATTCATTGTTCGTGCACAACACCCAGTGCTCCATGCAGAACCTGCCCTCCTCAATACCCACCACCAGGCCAACCCATCCTCCCACCCCCCTCCCCTCTAGAACCCTCAGTTTGTTTTTCAGAATCCATCGTCTCTCATGGTTCGTCTACCCCTCCGATTTCCCCCCCTTCATTCTTCCCCTCCCTTCATTCTTCCCCTCCCGCTACCTTCTTCTTCTTCTTCTTTTTTTTTTTTTTCTTAACATATATTGCATTATTTGTTTCAGAGGCACAGATCTGAGATTCAACAGTCTTGCACAATTCACAGCGCTTACCAGAGCACATACCCTCCCCAGTGTCTATCACCCAGTCACCCCATCCCTCCCACCCCACCCCCCACTCCAGCAACCCTCAGTTTGTTTCCTGCGATTAACCCATTTATCCATTTTTTAAATAGATCATTATATTGGTGTCACATTTGAGAACTCTTTACCTAACCTAGGTTGAAATGATTTTTATTTTATGTTTGGCTCCAAAGTTTTATAGTTTCCTGTTTTGCATTCAGGCTTACGGCTCATTTTTAGTTAACTTTGGTTCAAGGTGTGAGGTTTGGGCTGAGATACACTCGTTTTGCATATTAATATCCTCGTGTTTGCCCTAGTTTTGTGAGTCTGTTTCTGGACTCTGTTCTGCCGTTGATTGTGTGCGTGACCT